TTATTAGAACCAGCTGTGTGATTGACAGATTGACAGATATGACGTCAGCATAAGAGCATTCAAGAGATGAATCGTTCACAACAGTTCAACATATATCACTCAGTATAACAGGCCTAATCTCTTTATTTGCTTTAGTTTAGTAGATATCTACAAACAAAGAGTCGATATTTTTCTAAAACCATTTAGTGCTTCACATAATAAAATACACAACGGCTTTAGCCTGTTTTAGGAACTGTATGTGCGTGTGTGTGGTGTAGGTTTGTGTGGTACAGTGTGTAGTTGCATGTGTGGTACAGTGTGTGCGTAGATGCAGCGGACAGACAGGTCTCAGTTGGTTTGGTGTCCTCTGCTTACTTTTTAATACTTGTAAATATAACTTTTGGCCCGTAATTTATTTTCCTCGTTGTAGCGACCAGAGAGGGGGGGGGGATGTATCCAGTCTCTGATAGTGTTACGTTATGAGTGCTCTGTTTGATTCTGAAATTGTGTATATATATATGTGTGTGTGTGTGTGTCCCCGCATCTGTAGCCTGTTATTGTCTCATTATACCGCACTGTCAATGAATTAAAAGTAAATATATAAGTCATCATGAACACATCTGTCCATCAGACAGAGAGCTGCTGTGCCTCCTGTCATCATTAATGGACGTCTCTTTAAAATGACCGCTCAGAGGAGAGGAGTTCTCATTTCTCTAACCGCCTGCTGCTTCCCCTCCTCGGCTCCTCCGCTCGCATCTCCTGCGGGCGGGACTAAGTATAGAGGATAGGAGTCGAGGAGGGGAGTCGAGGAGGGGAGTTAGAGAAATGAGAAAGGGCCCATATCATCCTATCACCACTTGTGGAATTATACCAGCAGAGGCTGTGGCGCAGTGGATTATTAGAGCGTTGGTGTTCAGATCAGGGGGCACAGGTTCAAATCCCACTGCAGTCAGTATGTCATTGTGTCCCTGAGACACTTCACTCCAAATTGCTCCTGTGGGGATTGCCCGCAGTATTGAGTATGTAAGTCACTTTGCGCTCAACACACACAGACTCAAAACCATGGACACACTGGCACATAAACAATTTATAGGCCTAAATTGCACAAGCTACAGTATTGCAACTAAGCAGACAGTCCTGCTTCTCTCTCTGAAATTAACTTATTAAATAAACAAAACGAAAAATATAGCCATACTTATGCAAACAACATTGAATCTGGACTTGACATTATTCTGATTAGGCCTAGCCTACATTACACACACACACACACACACACACACACACACACACACACACACAACACACACACACACACACACACACACACACACACACACACACAACACACACACACACACACACACACACACACACACACACACACACACACACACACACACACACACAGATGAACAAACTTTGCAGTGTATCCACGGGTATTCCTCTTGTTTCCTCCGCCACATCTCCTCCGTCCATACCTCTGGGAAAGGTGAGCTTGAGCTAGCCAGGGCAACGTTGCTAGCGCAGCTAACTAGCTAGCATTATCCACGTCTTTAGGCGGCTCTTCTAATGATGTATTAAATGCATTATGTTTTCGTCATTATTACAACAAATACACACTTGCAACTGATAACACTGGCAATGATTTTATATTTATTAGACTTAAAAAAAAGATCATGCTCCAAATAAGTGGGGGTACGGCGTACCCCCGCGTCCAACGGCCACTACACCACTGGATACAAATGAACACATAATGAAATATGACCCCCGGTTTGATGATTGACAGGTCACAGTACAATGGGAGCTATCTACCCTTACCCACAATTTAAAGTCATTCACACAGACTATCTCCTCTTTGCTCTTCTCTCTGTGAGGAGCAGCAAGTTCAGCTTCAGAACAAAGTGAAACACAAACAATGGCATCAAATATTATTAACATGTCGGGTAGTAGCCTAATATATTTATTTATTTTCTTCTCAGAGTGTACCAGAATGCAGGGCCGTCCCTCCCTACACTCAGATCACGTGGGGCCTCAACTTGAGGAGGGGCCCCTCAACTGAGCGCACCGTTATGCGGCGCAATTAGTGTAAGCGTGGCACAGTTTTGCCGCTGCGACACGGAGGGCCTCATCATATAACTTTGCGTGGGGCCACAAAATGGCCAGGGATGGCCCTGCCAGAATGCGTAGTTTATATGTTAGCATTTCAAAAAATCTCCTGGGAGAGAATCCCCCCAGACCCCCCCTGCTGGGGTTGGGTTTTCAGCATGTGTGCCTTTTTATGTTATACAGTTCAGCTTTGATTCCATCATCTCATTAAACTTTTTTAAAAGCATACTTTAGTTATGTGAAGGGATATAAGGGATATATGCACTGTACTTCACTTTAATTACATTACATTGCATTTAGCTGACGCTTTTATCCAAAGCGACTTACAATAAGTACATTCGACCAGGAAGACACAACCTTGAAGAAAACAGAATCATATAAGTACATCAGGTTTCATAGAGCCAAAAACATTTCAAGTGCTACTCAACTAGCTTTAGATAAGCCAGTCCTTTATTAGTATATAAGTGCTTTGTTAATAGTTCTATCGCTCGAAGTGGAGTCGAAAGAGATGAGTTTTCAGTCTGCGCCGGAAGATGTGCAAGCTATCTGCTGTCCTGATGTCAATGGGGAGCTCATTCCACCATCTTGAAGCCAGGACAGCAAACCCACGTGTTTTTGCTGATGGGAACTTGGGTCCCCCTCGCAGCGAGGGCGCAGCGAGTCGTTTGGCTGATGCAGAGCGTAGTGCACGCGCTGGGGTGTACGGTTTAACCATGTCCTGGATATACGAAGGGCCAGATCCATTCGCAGCATGGTAAGCAAGTACCAGTGTCTTGAAGTGGATTCTAGCAGTTACCGGAAGCCAGTGAAGGGAGCGGAGGAGCGGAGTGGTGTGGGAACATTTAGGAAGGTTGAAGACCAGACGAGCCGCTGCATTCTGGATGAGCTGCAGAGGTCGGATGGCACATGCAGGTAGACCAGCCAGGAGGGAGTTGCAGTAGTCTAGGCGTGAGATGACGAGAGCCTGGACCAGAACCTGCGTCGCTTTCTGTGTCAGCTGGGGACGTATCTTCCTGATGTTATAAAGCGTGTATCTGCAGCAACGGGTTGTAGCAGCTATGTTTGCAGTGAATGACAGGTTGTTATCTAGAGTCACACCCAGATTCCTTGCAGTCTGAGTCGGGGAAACAACTGAGGTGCCGATGTTGATTGTTAGGTCAAGAGTGGGACAATCTTTTCCCGGAAGGAAGAGCAGCTCAGTCTTGTCAAGGTTGAGCTTGAGGTGATGAGCAGACATCCACTGAGAGTTGTCAGCTAGACAAGCAGAGATGCGTGCGACGACCTGGTTCTCTGAGCGGGGAAAGGACAGAATTAATTGGGTGTCGTCAGCGTAGCAGTGGTATGAAAAACCATGCGGGCTAATGACTGATCCGAGCGAGTTTGTGTACAGGGAGAAGAGGAGGGGACCAAGAACAGAGCCCTGAGGGACCCCCGTAGTTAATTGACAAGGGTCGGACTCAGACCCTCTCCAAGTCACCCTGTAGGTACGGTCTTTCAGGTATGAGGTGAGGAGGGAAAGTGCAGAGCATGAAACTCCAAGTTTTTGGAGAGTGCGAAGGAGGATCTGATGATTCACCGTGTCGAATGCAGCAGACAGGTCCAACAGGATGATGACAGAGGAGAGGGATGCAGTTTTGGCAGTGTGCAGTTCCTCCGTGACAGCAATGAGAGCAGTTTCTGTGGAGTGACCTGCCTTGAAACCAGACTGGTGCGGATCCAGAAGGTTGTTCTGATGGAGATAACAGGACAGTTGTTTAAAGACAGCGCGTTCAAGTGATTTAGACAGGAACGGGAGGAGAGAGACAGGCCTGTAGTTTATAACATCAGACGGGTTGAGAGTAGGTTTCTTTAGGAGAGGGTTTACTCTTACCTCCTTGAGACTGTTTGGAAAGTGACCAGAAGTTAGAGAAGTTTTGATGAAATGGGTGAGAAACGGTAGAATATCAGGAGCGATAGTCTGAAGGAGGTTTGAAGGGATAGGGTCCAGAGGACAGGTGGTAGGGCGGGCAGAGGTAATGAGGGTAAGAACCTCACTTGGAGAGAGAGGGGAAAAGGAGGTTAGTGTGTTGGTGGAAGGAGGGTCTGGTGACCCAGCGGTGAGTAAAGGGGAGTCAGAAAAAGAAGAGCGAATATCATCAACCTTTTTTTTCAAAGTGGGTAACAAAGTCGCTTGACAGAAGTGAGGAGGGGGGAGGGGCTTTTGGAGGGTCCAAGAGGGTGGAGAAGATGGAAAATAGTTTTTTTAGGATTGGAATAGGAAGATTGGATCTTATCTTGAAAGAAAGTGCTTTTTGCCTGAGAGCTCGAAGCAGAGAAAAAGGAGAGGAGAGCCTGATAGGTTAGGAGGTCGTCACGGTGTTTGGATTTCCACCGTTTCCGCTCTGCTGCCCTAAGGACGGTTCTATTAGCACGCAGTGCATCATTTAGCCAGGGAGCAGGAGGGGACTGACGAGCCTGCCGAGATGTGAGAGGACAGAGAGAGTCCAGAGTGGATGAGAGAGTAGAGAGGAGAGTTTCTGCAGCAGAGTTTGAAGGCAGGAGTTGGAACGAGTCAGAGGAAGGGAGGGCTGAGAGCACCGACGAGGCAAAGGTAGAGGGGGAGAGGGAGCGAAGGTTACGGCGGACAAGTGAAGGATGAGAAGAGATTAGTTTGTTATGTTTGGAAAGGGGTAGAGAGAATGAAATGAAGAAGTGATCGGATGTGTGGAGCGGGTTTACAGAGAGGTTAGAAGTAGCGCAGTTCCTGGAGAATATGAGATCAAGGACATTGCCAGCTTTATGAGTCGGTGGGGACGGAGACAGTGAGAAAGCAAAGGCGGTTAACAGGGATGTTAGTTCGTCTATCTTCCCCGTCTGGAGGTTGAAGTCTCCGAGAAGTACAGCGGGAGGGCCAGTTTCAGGGATGTGTGAGAGGAGATGATCTAATTCCTCCAAGAAGTCCCCCAAGGCGCCTGGTGGACGGTAGAGAACAACAATGGTTAACTGTATAGGATGGGTTACTGTGACGGCATGGAATTCAAAGGTGGAAGGAGTGAAGTTAGGTAGCTTGAAGAGGGAAAAGCTCCATTTGGGAGAGAGCAGGAGACCAGTGCCACCTCCTCTGCCAGTTGGTCTGGGTGTATGGGAGAAGGAATATGCAGTGGAGAGAGCTGCTGGGGTGGATGTGTTGGATGGAGTAATCCAGGTCTCAGTGAGAGCAAGGAAATCCAGAGATTGCAGGGAGGCGTAGCCAGAGATGAAGTCAGCCTTAGGAACAGCTGACTGGCAGTTCCACAGGCCACCTGAAACTAGATGTTGGATCTCAGTGGAGCATGTGGGATAGATGAGAGCAGGCCGGTTATATCGATTAGGAGATACACGGGGCCAGTGATAATTGCGAGAAGACACATGAACAGGAATGGAGAAAATACACATGATTATAGCATGAGGGGCTATAAAACTAAAGAAAAGAGAAATAAGACACCAGCTCAATCAGAGTAGGATTTGCCTCCCTCGTGACTCCCGCAGGACTCTAATGTCTTTGTCAGGCTTCGGCTGTCTGACGCTTAAGCTGACGCTCCAGGAAAGAGCTATCTAAAATGGACGCCTGATTGCTGAGTTCTCACAGCTGTAGGGCCACGCCCCTCTAATTAGTTAACTATCTACAGCTGATGGGCGACAATAGACTGGCCCTGCCTATATTGTAATGCAGGATTGAGAGCTGAGACCTGTGAAGCAGGTTTCGCCTGAGCAGATCTGAGATTTAAAATCTCTCAAAAGCGATTTAGCCGTTTTAGCTACAATTATACAGAGTAGAATAAATTAAACAGAGAAGTCTAATTAAACAAGAATATAACTTACAGTGGTTGCTGCGTCAATAGGTAATGTCGTCACCCGGTCCAGATGTACACTGAGTTCATCAGATTTTAAATGCGGTATTTAAATGCTTTTTTAGGTCAAAGATAACTGAGTCACGCTGTTGTACTTCACGCAATCAATAGACTGGCCCTGCCTATATTGTAATGCAGGATTGAGAGCTGAGACCTGTGAAGCAGGTTTCGCCTGAGCAGATCTGAGATTTAAAATCTCTCAAAAGCGATTTAGCCGTTTTAGCTACAATATGTACAGAACAATTATACAGAGTAGAATAAATGAAACAGAGAAGTCTAATTAAACAAGAATATAACTTACAGTGGTTGCTGCGTCAATAGGTAATGTCGTCACCCGGTCCAGATGTACACTGATTGATTTTGTCTGCTGAAAAGCAAATAAAAAAATGTCGGGTCGCGATTTATTGACAAAGGAAAAAAGTGCGTCCCGAGGCCTGACCAGTTGAGAACCACTGGTTTCGAGTGTTTAACCGGAATAACAGATCTTTCCAATCACCACTGATTTCAGGGTCAGGAGAAGCTAAAGTCATGTTCTTGGCTGGCTCTGGTTCTCTGTCAGTGTCGCCATAAGTGTTGGTTACTTTTGTGTCATAAGAGCACTATGGACTTGTTTCTGTGCTTAATATTTGTTTTAATGCACATTCAGACTTCACTTAGAGCAATGATATTTTAACACATTTCGAGCAGGTATCGCGTTATACACATTTACTGGGACTAACTCAAAGAGTTTGAACCTAACAATAATCACTGTCTTCAGGGTCAGGTTCTGAAGAGTCTCCGGAGTTGTCCTCAGTATCTGGTTGTAAATGTCTCTCTGGATCTGAGTTCCTGGCTGGTTCTGGTCCTCCACAGTCCTCTCCATCAGCTTCTGTTTCCAGGTGTTCAGCTGAGCTGCTGGCTGGAGGCTCTGCCTCTCTGATCTCCTCAGTTTGAGTTTGATGAAGCTGTGAGGACTGACGACCAACACACTTATGGATTTTGACCAGATATCTCCAGGTGAATCTTTTGTCACAAACACTGCAGCTGAATGGTTTCTCTCCTGTGTGGATTCTCATGTGTTCCTTTAAATTTCCTCTGTGCAAAATGTTTCTTACAAATTGAGCAGCTGAATGGTTTCTCTCCTGTGTGGATTCTTATGTGGTACTTTAAATTTCCTCTCTGTCCAAAAGATTTCTTACAAATTGAGCAGTTGAATGGTTTCTCTCCTGTGTGGATTCTCATGTGGTCCTTTAAATCTCCTCTCCGTCCAAAAGATTTCTTACAAATTGAGCAGCTGAATGGTTTCTCTCCTGTGTGGATTCTCATGTGGTACTTTAAATCTCCTCTCCGTCCAAAAGATTTCTTACAAATTGAGCAGCTGAATGGTTTCTCTCCTGTGTGGATTCTCATGTGGTCCTTTAAATCTCCTCTCTGTGCAAAATGTTTCTTACAAATTGAGCAGCTGAATGGTTTCTCTCCCGTGTGGATTCTCATGTGGTACTTTAAATGTCCTCTCTGTCCAAAAGATTTCTTACAAATTGAGCAGCTGAATGGTTTCTCTCCTGTGTGGATTCTCAAGTGGTCCTTTAAATCTCCTCTCCGTCCAAAACATTTCTTACAAATTGAGCAGCTGAATGGTTTCTCTCCTGTGTGGATTCTCATGTCTACTTTTAGATTTGACTTGCTGCGAATTTCTTTCCCACACAAAGAGCAGCCAAATGTTTTCTCTCTTGTGTGGGTTCTCATGTGCCGATTTAAATTTCATCTCTGTGTAAATGTTTTCTCACACAAAGAGCAGCCAAATGTATTCTCTCCTGCACTACGTCTTGAATCACTGACAGGGTTTTGTTTATTTTTCTGAGAGTTTGAACCTGGTTCTCTGGTCTCCTTCCAATCAGCACTGTCTTCAGTGTCAGGTTCAGAACAGTCTCCAGGGTTGTCCTCAGTCTCTGGTTGTAAATGTCTCTCTGGATCTGAGTTCCTGGCTGGTTCTGGTCCTCCACAGTCCTCTCCATCAGCTTCTGTTTCCAGGTGTTCAGTTTGTCTTTGATGAAGCTGAGAGGACTGAGGTTTCTCTTCATCATCTTCACTCTTCACAGGGACAGGAGTGAATGTGGACTTGGTGATATCAGCCTCCTCCAGCCCTTGAAGCTGCTCTCCCCCCTGACTACAGTGTTCCTCCTCTTTAATGTGTGGGGGGGGCTCTGGGTCCTCCTGGTCCAGACTGGAGCTCCACTCCTGCTGCTCAGGGGGAACCTCTTCTTTAACCACCACCAGCTGCTGGACGTCTGCAGGAAACAGGAAACACAAATTCAGAGAAAACTGTAGAGTATTAGAATTTAAAATCTAACCACGATTAACACTTCTTTAACTTTGCAGCCCTTATCCATTCCTTATTTTAAATGCTTTTCCAGATCGGTCGGCCGTTCACGGAGTGTGAGGCCGTAGCCTTATAGTTTGTGACCTGTCTCCAGAGTCGTTAGCTGAGAACTGGTGTTGGGGTTTCTCAGAGTAGTCGTTTAGCATCTCTTACCGCCTCGCTAAACCTGTACTTGGACTCATACAGGTGCATCTCAATAAATTAAATAACATGGAAAAGTGAGTTTATATCAGCAATTCAATTTATAAAGTTTGAATAAAATCCAGCATCTCAGAATATTTTAATAATACATAAGACCAATACAAAAACTGATTTGTTATTAATATAGAAATGCTGTCCTTCTGAAAATCATGTTAATGTGTATGCATTCAGTACTTGGTTGGACCTCCGTTAACGTGAATAACTGCATCAATGCGGCACAAATCTCTCTATTTCAGCGTGATAAGCCGATGAGCTGCCTTTTTGCATTAACCTGTTTTAACCCTGAGCCTGTTTTTCAGGTCTCAGGCTTGAAAATGACATTCCCAGAACAAATGACTATATCTTCCCTTTTAAAGAAAGGGGTAAATTAATAATCCTTTTTCTCAAAGCAATGATAAACCTGTGAGTTGGATGTAGAAAAGTCACAATCAATATAGATTTTGTTTATTTTAAAGTAAATTCAGATTGAACATAGTAAAACAAATTAAATTATAGTGTCCGTCCAAAAGCAAAACCAGTACTTATCGTGAAAACCACCCTTGGATGATGGGATAGTAGACTAAAAGCTTTAGGAATCCAAACTATAACATAATAAGTACCCTGTATCAAGATTGATGCAAAACAAGTGAAATTTGACCTTTTTAGAGAGATTTAGAAAAGAAAACCCACTTCTGGGTCATTTGGGTGAATTTTCCATATCTCTGGCCCCCTCGTTTGATTTTGATGATTGAGATCTCTTCTTAACCGTTAGAGCCAATAGAATTGAGGGGAAGTTCCTAAAATCCATCTAAACATTACCCATTGGTGAATGAGTGATGCATAGCCAGAATGCCCCTGAACCGGAAGCTGTGATACACTCAGCTAATATGAAAATTGACATAAATGGAATGATGGATTATCAGTAGGGGTGTAACGGTTCACAAACATTTCGGTTCGGTACGTACCTCGGTTTTTTGGTCACGGTTCGGTTCAGCAGAATTTTTTTTCACAAAACAAAAACATATATATATATTTTTTTTTATTATTATTAAACTGTGAATCATGTATTCACTCAAATAAATACAAAATATAATAAAATAAACATTAAGGTGCAGCATTTCAATGAACTGAAATAATCTGTATTTGAACTGTACTAGTTCCTAAGCAGCCAGTTTGACATTATGACTTGCTTGTCATTGTATTTTCATGTTTTTTTAAAGAAAAATGAACTTGTCCACATTGCTTGCTGAAAGGGCAGATCTGCTGGCACTAACAATGTCTCCTGCTGTGGAGAACACCCTCTCTAGGGACAGTGGCAGCAGATACAGCCAGGTAGCGCTTTGCTAACATGGCAACATAAGGATATTTGGCGTTTGTAATAGCTTTGGCTCGGTCTGAACTTTTTGCGAGTGGTGGAGGCTTACATGCTAGCGGGAGTTGGGTTTGCACTTCAGTCTTTTTTCTTTTGGTACCGGTGATATTCACGTTCGGGTGATGCCTTTTCAAGAGTGTGCAAGTTTGATGTATTGCAAGCCGCGTAACCAATTTTAGTTGAACAATGCCGACAAACAGCTTTGGTTCGGTCCACCTGTCTTTGTCCGTCATTCTTGTACGTAACTGCGAAACCAAAATGTTCCCAAACTGGAGACTTCAATGATGCTGGAGGATTTTCAGCTCAACTTTATCTGCGTTCGCCATGACTTGCTCGCTCTATGACGCGTTGAACCCAATGTGAGCAAATTACTCTGAATGCTGCGACGCAGCACCTGAGATTACTTCCAAAAAGTTGTTCACGTTCTCAATTTTTTACGTTTAACGTTATATTCGTTCGGTACACACCTGTACCGAACCGAAGGGCCCGTACCGAATAATTTCGGTACGGGTACGTGTACCGTTACACCCCTAATTATCAGTAATCATTTCAAAGTGACAGACACATTGGATTAACCTTCAGCAGCGTTTTTATCGTTTTAATGCCATTGAACACGACTTAAAAAGACCTCATGAAAGACGACACAAGAAGTGAGGATACCCGGCCCGAAGGAAGCCCGGGGTCCCCTTCTGGAGCCAGGCCCAGAAGGAGGACTCGTCTGCGAGCGTCTGGTGGCCGGGCTTGCCACGGAGCCCGGCCGGGCCCAGCCCGACAAGGCAACGTGGGCAACACCTCCGCTTCTCCGTCCCGCGGGCCCACCACCTACGGGAAACAGCGATGGGGTCGGGTGCGCTGCCAGAAGGGTGGCAGTGAAAGCGGAGGGTCTCGACGGACCAGACCCGGGCGACAGAAGCTGGCTTTGGGGACGTGGCACGTCACCTCTCTGGGGGGGAAGGTGCCGGAGCTTGTGCGGGAGGTGGAGCGTTACTAGTTGGATCTGGTTGGGCTCACCTCTACGCACAGCGTCGGCTCTGGAACCTTACTTCTGGATAGGGGTTGGACTCTATTCTTCTCCGGAGTTGCTCAAGGTGTGAGGCGCCGGGCGGGTGTGGGGATACTCACAAGTCCCCGGTTAGGTGCTTCGTTGTTGGAGTTTACCCCAGTGGACAAGAGGGTCGCCTCCCTACGCCTGCGGGTTATGGGGGGGAAAACTCTGACTGTTGTGTGTGCTTATGCACCCAACAGCAGTTCAGAGTATACGGCCTTCTTGGAGACCCTGGAAAGAGTCCTGTATGGGGCTCCTGAAGGGGACTCTTTAATCTTGCTGGGAGACTTCAACGCACATGTGGGCAATGATGGAGACACTTGGAGGGGCGTGATTGGGAGGAACGGCCCCCCTGATCTGAACCGGAGTGGTGGTTTGTTACTGGACTTCTGTGTTAGTCATGGATTGGCCATAACAAACACCACGTTCGAACATAAGGATGCTCATAAGTGTACGTGGTACCAGAGCATCCTAGGCAGAAGGTCCATGATCGATTTTGTTATCGTATCATCGGACCTGAGGCCGTATGTTTTGGACACTCGGGTAAAGAGAGGGGCGGAGTTGTCAACTGATCACCATCTGGTGGTGAGTTGGGTCGAGTGGCGGGGGAAGCCTCTGGATAGACCTGGTAAGCCCAAACGTGTAGTTTGGGTGAACTGGGAATGTCTGGAGGAGGCCCAAGTTCAGGAGGCCTTCAACTCACACCTCCGGCGGAGCTTTTCGGGCATTCCTGTGGAGGTTGGGGACATTGAACCAGAGTGGTCGGTGTTCAAAACCTCTATTGCCGAAGCCGCGGCGGGGAGCTGTGGTCTCAAGGTCCTAGGTGCCTCAAGGGGCGGTAATCCTCGAACCTCCTGGTGGACACCGGTAGTCAGGGAAGCCGCCTTCAGGGATTTGTTATCCCGGGGGACTCCCGAGGCAGTTGCAAGGTACCGACAGGCCCGAAGGGCAGCAGCCTCATCCGTGGCCGAGGCAAAGCAGCGGGTGTGGGAGAAGTTCGGAGAAGGACTTTCGGGCGGCACCAAAGTTGTTCTGGAAAACTGTCCGACACCTCAGGAGGGGGAAGCAGGGAACCATCCAAGCTGTGTACAGTAAGGATGGGACGTTGTTGACCTCAACTGATGGAGTGTTAGGGCGTTGGAAGGAACACTTTGAGGAACTCCTGAACCCGACAACTCCGCCCTTTATGTTAGAGGCAGAGCTGGAGTATGACGGGGGATCAACACCAATCTCCCGGGGAGAGGTCACTGAGGTCGTCAAACAACTCCACAGTGGCAAAGCCCCGGGCGTGGATGAGATCCGCCCGGAAATGCTGAAGGCTCTGGGTGTTGAGGGACTGTCATGGTTGACACGTTGCGTGGAAGTCGGAAACTGTACCGAAGGAGTGGCAGACCGGGGTGGTGGTTCCCCTTTTTAAAAAGGGGGATCAGAGGGTGTGTGCCAATTACAGAGGCATCACACTACTCAGCCTCCCCGGGAAAGTTTACTCTAATGTACTCGAAAGGAGGGTCAGGCCGATGGTCGAACCTCAAATTGAGGAGGAACAATGCGGATTCCGTCCTGGTCGTGTAACAACGGATCAGCTTTTTACTCTCGCAAGGATCCTGGAGGGGGCCTGGGAGTACGCTTATCCGGTCTACATGTGTTTTGTAGACTTGGAGAAGGCGTATGACCGAGTTCCCAGGGAGTTACTGTGGGAGGTGCTGCGGGAGTATGGGGTGAGGGGGTCTCTACTCAGGGCCATCCAATCTCTGTACTCCCAAAGCGAGAGCTGTGTCCGGGTCCTCGGCAGTAAGTCGGACCCATTTCCGGTGAGGGTTGGCCTCCGCCAGGGCTGCGCTTTGTCACCAATCTTGATTGTAATATACATGGATCGGATTTCGAGGCGTAGTCATGGGGGAGGGGATCTGCAGTTCGGTGGACTAAGGATTGCACCACTGCTTTTTGCAGATGATGTGGTTCTAATGGCTTCATCGGTCTGCGACCTTCAGCACTCACTGGATCGGTTCGCAACTGAGTGTGAAGCGGCTGGGATGAGGATCAGCACCTCCAAATCTGAGGCCATGGTTCTCAGCAGGAAACCGATGGACTGTCCACTCCAAGTAGGGAATGAGTCCTTACCCCAAGTGAGGGAGTTCAAGTATCTCGGGGTCTTGTTCTCGAGTGAGGGAACAATGGAGCGTGAGATGGGCCGGAGAATCGGAGCAGCGGGAGCGGTACTGCCGTCGATTTACCGCACCGTTGTGACGAAAAGGGAGCTGAGCCAGAAGGCAAAGCTCTCTCTCTACCGGGCCATTTCCGTTCCTACCCT